TTACGTCTTGCATAGACTTAAGATTAATATAATCTTAAGATAATAAATATTTAATATTAAAAAGAATAAAATGAGAAATAGTAGAGTTTTTGAAATATCTTAAAAATAATTTGAAAACTAATTTGATACATATATTTTATTATTGTTACGTTATTTAATTTATTTTTTTATTAGTGCGTAAAATGTTTTATAAATTTAATACTTTTGTAACATAATAAATTTGAGAAACAAATGTATTATTAGCAGCCTTTTTATTCTTGAATACATCAATTATATAATTGGTACTATATTAAGTTTAAAGAAATTATTATCAAGTCAAGTGAATATCATGATTTATTTATGCTGTGACAATACGTAAGTAATTATGAATATTGCGTCAATTAATTGATGTATTTAGTTATCTATCTCATATCTGCTATTATACAAAGAAACACATAATGCCATACTATGTCACCGTGTAAAACATACATATAATAAACGAGCCCCGGAATTGCGTGGCACCGACGAGAGCCTGTATTGAATCAAAAGAGTTCCCGTTGTACTTTACTTGATATACGCGACACATATGTGTTGTGCCACCACCAATTGCAGACGATATTGCACGACAGAATGCTATCTCGCTCTCGAATCGCGAAGATCGACGATGGGACGAGACTGGTGAAATCGTCTGCTATAGAACGACCCCACTGTTCTATTCGCGCCACGATCTATCCTTCTCTAGATAGATTACCCCTCTTTTTTTCTCTTTCCTTCTCCCCTCGCACAATTAGGGTTAATTAGCACGCGTAAGCGAGAAATCGCAATTGGAGCAGGCGAACGTACGAGCCAGCAGTAACAGCAGTAACAGCATCACTCGCTCTCTCTATTCGACTTTCCACAAAATCGTCCTCGCTGGACTGCACACATATGTCGTCATTCCTCCTGTCTTTCTCTCGAGCGAACACACTGAAACCGGTCTAATTTCGATGATTTCAATTCTCGGAGCTATAAGTATGGAAGAATGGAGCTTTGATATAAAATAGCGCAATAAGAGTTAAGATATTTATAATGCATGATATTAATTAACTGCGCCGCATGAAACAAACATGAAGGATAGTTTTTACTTTTTTCAGAAAAATAAATAAATGAATAATGAAATTCATTTTGAATAATAAAATTTTCTTTTCAATATATTATAGAAACACAAATTAAAATTTTAGCTTATGATCAATTTTTATCATTAATAAAAGTAATTATATGCCAGTATATTAAATTGTTTCTACATTTATCGAAAATAAATTCTTGAACTCGTTGAAAATATGCCAATTATTATTGAATCGTCTCGGTATTCACCTTGTGGAATTCTAAAGCTATCAGCGATTATATTGTCAATTTAAATAATATTGGCGATTTTGTGGGATAACTGGCGTAGGATAACTTCTTTAACACTCTCCATCTTTCGCTATAATAGTTAGTAATGAAAGAAGAAATCGCGAGGATGCAATGGAATTACATAAGACGGAGAATGCAGATGTATTTTGCACGAGCACGCGTAACGAATCTTTATCTGAGCCGTAGAAATATCCTAATGCTATAATAGTATCATTAAATGATATGATATATTTAGAATATTATACATTTTATAAAAATTTTGAAAATTAGCCATTACCATGTCGTGTGTTATGATGACCGTAAAAATATCAGCTGATTGACCGGCTGATTTGGCTGCGCCAAAGTATGATTAATATCCGAATTAATTAAATTTGGCAAATCGATATTTTTTGCAGAAATCATGGAATCATTTAGATTGGAAGAATCATCATTATATAGCCATGTGGTATAGCCATTATGACTCAGCTATCATGTATCTTATATACGCAACATTGACGAATAATTTATCAGCGACTGACGCAAGCGAATAGAGGATTATCGAAGTAATGTATACATGCGAGAGATTTTATATAGAAAACTCTAATACACTCACAGGATAAACGCATTTTGTTGCAAGGAAGACAAGAGTTCGCGATTATGTTTTTTGATCGAGGACCTTGAGATCTAATCGTGTTTACGACAAGGATGTATATTTATCTACTTAGTGACGTTGCGATTATATTAATGCGTGATTAAACGCATGAAAGGATTATTTCCAATAGAATTGTATCGGCAATCTTGAGTTCGCGCGGATAGGTCGGATACGATAGAAAAATAGGCTGCTATTATTTACTTTTTGCATTTTCCATAAGTTTACCGTTTAACTTTGTTTATCTAATGAAAGCTGTATTAAAAAGATTTAGTAAAGAGATTTTGTTCTATTGAAGTTATAACATTAAAGTGAAAGTTAATTCATCACGGTTATAATATAGGCTAATATTATTAATTTTATCTTTCATATCGTTGTCTTTTCACGTTTCAGAAAAAATGAGAATTACTACTAGCAATAAAGAGATTAGAGATAAGAAATAATGTTGCTATCTTTAATCTTAAAGAATTTCTCTCAAGGAGCAAGAAATTCTCTCCCGCTTGGGACAAAGAGCAATATTTGTTAATTTTTTCGTCGGAGATTCTCAAGAAAAGTGAGTCAAACTTTGCTCACATTTTTGGCTTATTAACCTGTTTTCTCTTAAATATTAGTCGTGTCGTTGTTTATAAATTCTGTTGCGTTGATCGTAAATAAATGTTAAATTTTTTTTGAATATGTCTATTTACCGCCAAGTTCTTTCCAGTTCCAGCTCGTATGTGATTTAATATTAACTTATTTTGTCTCTTATCGCATCGATATTTCTTTTTATAATACGAACGGTTTTTGTCTTATTCGATTATTAAGAAAATTGATTATTAAGAAAATAATTGATCTATTTAGCATTATCCGTAACTTTGAAGCGAATTAAATATTAATATTAGAAAGTATATTAAACTTGAAAACTTTTGGATATATGTTGTTTTAAGTATCTTTTATTGAATTATTATGATTTTAAATTTGACGGTGACAAGAATGCTGTATAAATTAAAATATAGAAAACAATGCAATATGAAAATCAATTTTGTCAAATCTTGACTAATAAAAATAGATCTGAAAAGTAGAATAGCTTATTCAAATGTTAGTGGAAAAGTTTTGACCTATTTATAAGAAAAAAATTTCAGAAAATATTCAAATTTTTCTTTTGATAAACACAGACTTAATGTAATGGAAGGGTTGTATTGAACGATGACGATTGAGTCGATATAAACGCGTTCGTTCCGCGCAATTTACGTTCTGGCTGGTCGATCCGCTGTTGTGCGGGATTGCTAATTCCAAATGGGACGATAAGAACGGGCCTGAATTAAACGAGAACGAGGTGGCATCGCGCTTGCACGTACACAAGTTACACTTTCGCATTGCAATTGCAATTGTCGTTTATCGAATTTGGGGCGTGACGGTAGATTAAATAAATAATTGATTAGTGATTCCTTGAATATAGATAATTGCTTAATTTAAGAAGTCAGATATTATATTGCCATTGAAAAACTATTAAGCAAAAATTGTGCAAAAAGTGCATAAATTTGATGATTATATATATATATATATATATATATGAGTGTATATATCTTTGATAACTCTGATCTTTGAATAAAGATTATATTAAAACAAATTTTTTATTATAGATTCTGTGAAAATTACATATGAAAATAATACAAACCTATTTCATTTTTATGTTTTAGATTTTCAATTTGGAATACAATACTGGGATCGTCATTACTGACGATGCCATGGGGAATTACGATGGCCGGATTCTTTCCTGGAATTATCCTCAACTTACTGATG